TTATGGAAGAATTTTCTTCAAACTTTACTCAAATGTTCACCTCAACAAGGTTATGTGCAGAACCCTTGTTACCTTTGTGCGGGCTTAAGGTCAAGGTCACACTTGAAGGTCAAAAATACACTTACAAAATGTTCTTAATTTTAACATGTACTTGAATATTTCTGAAACTAGCACAGGTATTTGCTTGAAACTTAAATATATATGAGGTGTCACAAGTAAGATATGCAGGTCAAGTTTCATAACTGATTGCATTTTGACAAAGTTATGCTCGTTTTTAAGTCTTTAAATTTACATACAATCAATACTAGACAATACAGTCGACTCCAATTATCTCGAAGTCATCGGGACCGTCCAAAAAATATCGAGATAACGAAATGTCGACATAAACATGTAAGGGTTTGAATAAGGCAGAAATTGATTTTTACAAAAGAAATGTACAAACCTTATGTCAAATAAACTATGATATCCCCATGTCTTCTTTTCATAAGCCTAGACAATATTTAACAATGTAACATTAGTGGATGTTTACCAGTCTGTCTGTGATAAAAACACATAGTGAGCTTTACTCAGTAATACACCAATTTGTGAAAACATTGGATTCAGGGTGATTGATCCAGATATCCTCCTGGGTTAGTTATCGGGTCTATCTCGGGAATGTTCAACCGCTGATTAATTTGGTGATGTTGTGAAACAATATTGCAACGATAGCGTTTCAATTCTTTCAATTTTTCATTTACCTTTAAAGTCTTAGTGAATTGATACAGTGTTCGAATATTTATAAAGAACGTAAAATTCACTCATTTTGAACATAAGTCAATCAACACGCTAATTAGATTAACTTTTATAATAACAGCTCAAATTGTTACAAACATAATCATCATTATGACACGCGGTATTAGGCAATTATCGTCTGATTTGTGTTTTTCACACGTCTGCAGGGAATAGACAAAGAAAACTATTAGTCGAGATAAACAAAGGATAATAGTGTGAAAATAGCTGTTAGGGCTGAAATTTTACATCGAGATACTGAAAATAAAAATATCGAGATAAACAAATTTTTCCAATAAAGATAAAGAAGGAAGAAAATCAGGACTTTCAAAATTCCATCGAGATAACGAAATATCGAGAAAACCGATGTCAAGATAACGATAGTTGACTGTATGTTGTGTCTACTCTATAAATTCTATACTTATGGAAGGATTTTGACTCAAATGTTCACCTCAACTGGGCAATGTGCAGAACTCATCTTACCCTTGTGCCAGCTTAAGGTCAAGGCCACACTTGAAGGTCAAAAATTGACTTAGAAAATGTTCTGAAATTTTAACATGTACTTGAATATTTTTAAAACTAGAACAGATAATCATTTGAAACTTCAAATATATACGAAGTGTCGCAAGTAAGATATGCAGGTCAAGTTTTATAACTTAAAAAAATGGGGGGGGGGGATAACTTTGTATTGTATTTTGACAAAGTTAAGTCCATTTTAATGTCTTTAAATTTATTTACTATAAAATTTCTTAAACCAGAACAGATATTTACTTTAAACTTAAAATTTATATGAATGTTACAAGCAAGCTCAGATGAAGAAAATTCTACAATTCCATTGATTTATGATACAAGTTATGCCCCTTTTAGGCTTAGAAAATGTTCTGATCATCAATACTCTTACCATCAATACTTAAATGTTTCTGAAACTAGAACAGATATTCACTTGAAACTATATAATATATGAAGGGTCACAAGTAAGCTCAGTATGCAAAGTTTTTCCACTCTTAATTAAATTTTGACATAATTATGCTATTTTCTTAACTTCACTGCTTTTGTTTGTTTTAGTACATTGGGAAAATGAAAAGTTATTTGTAACTGTTTGAATATGATTTGACAATATATATTTATACTATTACCTGTACAATTTGTCTATTTTTCACCAGAGATAATTTCTTTTTATGTACATGTATTTGTGCCACTAAAGTTATTCCCTTAACCACCGTTCTTAGTCGTCTTCTGTTAAGGACATTGGTGGGGGTATGAATCACATTCAGTGATAGTTCTAGTTTATAATTTTTTGCTTTTCATTTAATTCATAATGTAAGATATAAACTCTACCAAATATAACTTATCGAATCTTGCTTTTTTTTAGGAACCAGATACATATTCTGGTTATATACAGAAAATGAAAGATATAAGTCAACTTATGCTCAGGTGTCATCAGATTGCAAAACTAAAGCTAAGAGTAAGTATATATGTAAAAACTGTTCTTCAGATTTGTGCTAATTTTCATGAAAATTTTGAAAATGTATTTAAAGTTAAATACTGTGAAGTAATTTACACATTGCAAACTGCCTTACAATCTATGTTAATTACTAAAAGGGGTCAAAATATTCATAAATACCAGCACAGTAGAATTATAGTTATTGAAAAATCAGTCATTAATCACACATAACATGTAAATAAATTAATTAAATATTTAATCTTTTACTTTTCTTAAGATTTTAATACATTTTGCTAAAGATTGAATTTCTTGCAATATTATGGCTCATTTGGAGGCATGCAGCTTTAAAATACGAATAAATATTTTTTAACTTTTATAAAAACACATTATGTTGTTTTAATATCTATTTATGTCAAATTAATAACCTCTTTTCCCTAGAATTCTGGTTATTCCTTCATTGAAGAAAATTCTTGCAACACACTACTTTGACATCCATATATGTACAAAAGGTCAACAACCAGTAGCTTCATTATGTACTTTTTCACGTATACTGTGCAAATTATGTGTGGAGAAAAAATAGGCTATTGTGAAAGGTGTAAATGGATTTGATTTGAAAATGAGAACCAATATAAAATTTAACAGAATGCCCTCTATGAATTTACAAATGTCCCAATGTATCCCTTTTTATACGCCCGTTTGAAAAACGGGACGTATTATGGGAACGCCCCTGGCGGGCGGGCGGGCGGCGTCCAATTTTGTCCGGAGCATATCTCCTACATGTATGGAGGGATTTTAATGAAACTTCATAGAAATGTTCACCACTATGAGGAGCAGTGTCGCGCACATGAACCAGGTCTCTAGGTCAAAGGTCAAGGTCACACTTAGAGCACATTGAAAAATGCTTGTCCGGAGCAAAACTTCCACATGTATAGAGGGATTTCAATATTACTTGGCACAAATGTTCACCATTGTGAGGTGGAGTGTCGCGCACAAGATTCAGGTCCTTGCAGCCAAGGTCAAGGTCACACATAGAGGTCAAAGTTCAGATAAAAATATGAAGATGTGTATATGGACCATTTAGTCATCATTTATTGAGGGATTGTAACACAAATGGTCATTATCAAGACTATGGCTGTGATACATATAATTTAGGTCAATATATACAAGGTCAAGGTCACTAAAGATGATGAAATATCCAGATTTTGTCCGGAGCATATCTCCTACACGGATGGAGGGATTTTAATGAAATTTCATAGAAATGTTCACCATTATGAGAAGCCATGTCACGCACATGAACTAGGTCTCTAGGTCAAAGGTCAAGGTCACACTTAGAGCTCATTGAAAAACGCTTGTCCGGAGCAAAACTTCCACATGCATAGAGGGATTTCAATAGAACTTGGCACAAATGTTCACCATTGTGAGGCAGAGTGTCACGCACAAAATTCAGGTCCCTGCAGCCAAGGTCAAGGTCACACATAGAGGTCAAAGTTTAGATAAAAATATGAAGATGTGTATAGGGACGATTTAATCATCATTTATTTAGGGATTGTAACACAAATGGTCATTATCATGACTACGGCTGTGACACATGTAGTTTAGGTCAATATATGCAAGGTCAAGGTCACTAAAGATGGTGAAATATCCAGATTTTGTCTGGAGCATATCTCCTACATGTATGGAAGAATTTTTATAATACTTTATGGAAATGTTCACCACCATGATATGTATTGCTCCATGCATGATCCAGGTCTCCAGGTCAAAGGTCAAGGTCACACTTAGAGCTCATTGAAAAAACGCTTGTCCGGGGCAAAACTTCTACATTCATAGAGGGATTTCAATATAACTTGGCACAAATGTTCACCATTGTGAGGCTGAGTGTCGCACGCAAAATTCAGATCCCTGCGACCAAAGTCAAGGTTACACATAGAGGTCAAAGTTCAGATAAAAATTTGAAGATGTGTATAGGGACCATTTAGTCATCATTTATTGATGGATTGTAGCACAAATGGTAACTATCATAACTACAGGTGTGACACATTTAATTTAGGTTAATATTTGCAAGGTCAAGGTCACTGGAGATGATTAAATATCCAGATGTTGTCCGGAGCATATTTTCTACATGCATGGAGGAATTTTAATGTTACTTTATAGAATTGTTCACCACCATGAGACGTAGTGCCCTGCACATGAACCAAGTCTCTAGGTCAAAGGTGAAGGTCACAGTTAGAGCTCATAGAAAAACGCTTGTCTGGAGCTAAACTTCTACATGCATAGAGGGATTTCAATATAATTTGGCACAAATGTTCATCATTGTGAGGCTGAGTGCCGTGCATAAAATTCAGGTCCCTGCGACCAAGGTCAAGGTCACACATCCTGTGCATATCTTCCCTACTGATTTGTTTTAAGGTTCATTTAACAACACAGTGCCAAGAATAAAAACTTGCTTACTAGATAACACTTATCCATAATGCCCCCATCTCCATCTAAAGCTTTCGTAAACGGGCGTATTTTGTGACTATGGCACCCTTGTTTTTTATAAGTTAATATTTGTATTTCTTTATTATGCATCTTTGGACATCTTTTGTTAACTCTATAAAAGAACTAGAGGGGCCAGACTACTTTGAGCAGCAATTATTGATAGAAAATATGTTTGATTAACAAAGCTTAAAACAGGGGCACGTATTTGAGAATATATAGACAATATGTTTATAATACAAAATATGTCTATTTTACATAGAATAACATTTTTAACAAAAAATGAAAGAATTATAACAATATTTTAAAAAATATGACCTATATTGTATATCAATTTACTTTAATCCCTGCAGTGTCTGAATCACCAACAAAGCTTGAAGTAGCAGGAGTAACGAGTCGTGCTTTTGATATTTCTTGGGAGAAACCCGGAAATACGTACAGTGAAGAAAACTATGGATACGTTCTACAGATTAAAGATGAGACCAGTTCATGCTGGAAAGAAGTTATTTATAGATGCTCAGATTGTAGTGGTAATTTTAGAGTAAGTCTTTGAATACATATTTTTTCTACCACCAACGTATTATATTATGATATGGTGAATGTTTTTATGGCAGACAAATACACTAGTATGATGAATTATCATCTATCAACTATTGATTAATATTAATGCACAAATAATGATTAATCTAAATTGCCAAATAACTATGATTTAAACAAACTTGTACATATGTACAACATATGTGATGTATGTTTAATCTGTTAAAATACAAAGAGTGGCTTTAGCTGCATTAACTTTGGACATGTCACCAGTCATGATTTTGAAGCACAAATTGGTGATAATTTACCTCCATGCATTTTTTGTAAAGCAGTCAGTATGTACCTTAACATACAGTAAATTGTAACAATAATGATTGAGGTAGCCCTGATATGATTTGTTGGTACGAAGGGAAGGGCTTGCTTTTCTAGGAGCTCATTCACCCTGGTACCCTTCCTCATTGTCCCTGCCTACTCTGTATGGCCACTGCCTTTGGCCTCAGTCAGGACATTGACTGAAGGTTAACTGACATACAAGATGGACTTAATTCTGTCTCACTGTGAAATCAATAGTTTGACCTCTGGGGTCTTCATTCTGTGTGTATACACAAGATCAGAATCTTAGTCTGCACTTGAAAAGAGAATGGAAAGTTTTCAACATCTTTATTTCATGTTCTTAACCCATAACCTCATAATTACATGCCTTTTACCCCCCCCCCCTCCTTTTTGTGCCCCAACTTTAGTGGCGGGCATTTAGATTTACCCTTGTCCGTCCGTACTTCCCTCCGTCCGTTCACTTTTGTGTCGCATGTAACTCTAAAAGTATTTGACCTATGGTCATGAAACTTTACAGGAATGTTGATCAACATGTGAAGCTGTGCACCTTGGTATTTTCGTCTGGATATTTTTTAGTATTTTCAGAGTTATTGCCCTTGAATTAGTAAAATTTTGCAATTTTCAACTTGTGTCGCATGTAACTCAAAACAAAAAGTATTTGACCTAGAGACATGAAACTTTACAGGAATGTTGATCAGCATGTGTAGTTGTGCACCTGGGTATTTTCGTCTGGATATTTTTAGTATTTTCAGAGTTATTGCCCTTTACTTAGTAAAATTTTGCAATTTTCAACTTGTGTCGCATGTAACTCAAAAAGTATTTGACCTAGAGTCATGAAACTTTACAGGAATGTTGATCAGCATGTAATGTTGTGCACCTTGGTATTTTCGTCTGGATATTTTTAGTATTTTCAGAGTTATTGCCCTTTACTTAGTAAAATTTTGCAATTTTAAACTTGTGTCGCATGTAACTCAAAAAGTATTTGACCTAGGGACATGAAACTTTACAGGAATGTTGATCAGCATGTGTAGTTGTGCACCTGGGTATTTTCGTCTGGATATTTTTAGTATTTTCAGAGTTATTGCCCTTTACTTAGTAAAATTTTGCAATTTTCAACTTGTGTCGCATGTAACTCAAAAAGTATTTGACCTAGAGTCATGAAACTTTACAGGAATGTTGATCAGCATGTGTAGTTGTGCACCTTGGTATTTTCGTCTGGATATTTGTAGTATTTTCAGAGTTATTGCCCTTTACTTAGTAAAATTTTGCAATTTTAAACTTGTGTCGCATGTAACTCAAAAAGTATTTGACCTAGAGTCATGAAACTTCACAGGAATATTGATCAGCATGTAATGTTGTGCACCATGTTTTTTTCGTCTGGATTTATTTAGTATTTTTAGAGTTATTGCCCTTGACTTAGAAAATTTTTGCAATTTTCAACTTGTGTCGCAAGTTTATTTTAGTTACTCAAAATGAATTTGACATAGAGTCATTAAACCTTATGGGCAGGTTGCTCAGCATATTTATATTTGCACCTGGGGTTTCGCTTGTGGATTTATCCAGTATTTGTAGAGTTATTTCCCTTGACTTAGTAAAAAGATTGACAGAACATTTGTGCGGTGGGGGCACCCGTGTCCTATGGACACATTTCTAGTTGTAGTCTCAAATGGTGACAAAAAGCCTTATTTAGGCCCCCAACACTTGTTTTTGTTTGAGAAATGTTGTTTAAAAAGTTGACCACATTTTTGGCACCCCCCATCCAAAAGATACATCAGGGGGTTGCCAGAAGGGGGATGTGCACCCTTCTGTACTCACCCCCCCCCCCTTTCCCCATCACTAAGAAAATTTGGACTTGTGAGAGGCTAAAATGATCCCAGGTCGATTATAAGGTAACATGTAACTAAAGCTGAAATACCTTTGACTCTATCTCATTCCATTGAGAAGTTGCAGCACTTTGAAATCAATTTTGATGGAAAAAATCAATGCAAAATAGTAATTTTTGGCAATTTTGAGATGCCATGGTAACAGGAAATTTAAGGCTGAGCATGTTGTTACAAAGGCAATGGTCCAGTCAATATTTGTGCCAAGTTTGATTAGTATTAAAGCAATTTTTATAGTTTTATAGCAATTTGAGACTTTTCAATGAAAACAGCCATTTATCACAAAATGCTCATGCAGTAATGGGTTAATGCACTACTTATATAGCTAAATGGTATAGAAATGATTATAATGTTAACTATATTTTCTATTTTAATGAAATTAGGATCACTACCACTGAAGTTTTATTTTAAGACATACTTTTAAGTCCCTGATTGAAACCTGTAATGCTGTCTTTTTTCAGAGTCCTAGTTCACAATCAAACTCTTATTGTCCTAACCTCAAAGGTCAAGGTCACACTTGTATTCCAAAGTGATGATGAATTTTTCATATAAGTGTATTGATGGTAGATGCAAGTCAAAGGTCATGGTTCCTCTACTGGACCCTGTCAGAGGGATTTGTCTGTTTCCATTGACAGTTCTTGTTTATTTCTAAATGATTTATTGCCTTTATTCATGGCCAAAACAACCCTTTGGACAAGACCTTATAGTTGACTAGACTGAGCTTGACTTTCACCTAGACATTTGGGGTCAAATTTTTGAATTTTGGTTGAATTTTTATACGCCCGTTTGAAAAACGGGACGTATAATGGGAACGCCCCTGGCGGGCGGGCGGTCGGGCGGGTGGCGTCCAATTTTGTCCGGAGCATATCTCCTACATGTATGGAGGGATTTTAATGAAACTTCATAGAAATGTTCACCACTATGAGGAGCAGTGTCGCGCACATGAACCAGGTCTCTAGGTCAAAGGTCAAGGTCACACTTAGAGCTCATTGAAAAATGCTTGTCCGGAGCAAAACTTCCACATGTATAGAGGGATTTCAATATTACTTGGCACAAATGTTCACTATTGTGAGGCGGAGTGTTGCGCGCAAGATTCAGGTCCTTGCGGCCAAGGTCAAGGTCACACATAGAGGTCAAAGTTCAGATAAAAATATGAAGATGTGTATATGGACCATTTAGTCATCATTTATTGAGGGATTGTAACACAAATGGTCATTATCAAGACTATGGCTGTGATACATATAATTTAGGTCAATATATACAAGGTCAAGGTCACTAAAGATGATGAAATATCCAGATTTTGTCCGGAGCATATCTCCTACACGGATGGAGGGATTTTAATGAAATTTCATAGAAATGTTCACCATTATGAGAAGCCATGTCACGCACATGAACTAGGTCTCTAGGTCAAAGGTCAAGGTCACACTTAGAGCTCATTGAAAAACGCTTGTCCGGAGCAAAACTTCCACATGCATAGAGGGATTTCACTATAACTTGGCACAAATGTTCACCATTGTGAGGCGGAGTGTCACGCACAAAATTCAGGTCCCTGCAGCCAAGGTCAAGGTCACACATAGAGGTCAAAGTTTAGATAAAAATATGAAGATGTGTATACGGACGATTTAATCATCATTTATTGAGGGATTGTAACACAAATGGTCATTATCATGACTACGGCTGTGACACATGTACTTTAGGTCAATATATGCAAGGTCAAGGTCACTAAAGATGGTAAAATATCCAGATTTTGTCTGGAGCATATCTCCTACATGTATGGAAGAATTTTTATAATACTTTATGGAAATGTTCACCACCATGATATGTATTGCTCCATGCATGATCCAGGTCTCCAGGTCAAAGGTCAAGGTCACACTTAGAGCTCATTGAAAAACGCTTGTCCGGGGCAAAACTTCTACATTCATAGAGGGATTTCAATATAACTTGGCACAAATGTTCACCATTGTGAGGCTGAGTGTCGCACGCAAAATTCAGATCCCTGCGACCAAAGTCAAGGTTACACATAGAGGTCAAAGTTCAGATAAAAATTTGAAGATGTGTATAGGGACCATTTAGTCATCATTTATTGATGGATTGTAGCACAAATGGTAACTATCATGACTACAGGTGTGACACATTTAATTTAGGTTAATATTTGCAAGGTCAAGGTCACTGGAGATGATTAAATATCCAGATGTTGTCAGGAGCATATTTTCTACATGCATGGAGGAATTTTAATGTTACTTTATAGAATTGTTCACCACCATGAGATGTAGTGCCCGGCACATGAACCAAGTCTCTAGGTCAAAGGTGAAGGTCACAGTTAGAGCTCATAGAAAAACGCTTGTCTGGAGCAAAACTTCTACATGCATAGAGGGATTTCAATATAATTTGGCACAAATGTTCATCATTGTGAGGCTGAGTGCCGTGCATAAAATTCAGGTCCCTGCGACCAAGGTCAAGGTTACACATCCTGTGCATATCTTCCCTACTGATTTGTTTTAAGGTTCATTTAACAACAGAGTGCCTAGAATAAAAACTTGCTTGCTAGATAACACTTATCCATAATGCCCCCATCTCCATCTAAAGCTTTCGTAAACGGGCGTATTTTGTGACTATGGCACCCTTGTTTTACAACTGGCTATAACTTTGTTGTATATTATTATCCCATTATTTGTTTATATAATCGAGTTTGACTTGACCTTTAAAGTGACCTTGACTGTGATGGTTAAGTTGTTTAATTTTGTTCGAATTGCCATAACTTTATTATTAATGCACAGATTGGATTCATACTTAGAAAATGCAACTATATTGAGCATGAGCATCAACATTTTAAATAATTCATGTTGAAAAATTTGATTACAGTTCTGTAAACAAAAATATGTTTTAGGAAATCATTTTCATTTCATTGTCCTTCTTTATGTGTTTGCTTTTGAAAATAAGAAAATATGGTCATGCATGGCCACCTGTCAGCACTGCCTGTTCTTTGGAAATAGATTTTAATAAGTTTCCTTTCCACTTAGCGACATATACCAACTATGTTAATTTCTGTTAATATTGAGTAAACAAACAAATATTGTGTTTTTGAGCATTTTAAAGGGGGTTAAGTTAATAATTATTTATGATTTGTTTCTTCATTGCTAATTTTCAAAAGTAAAGTCAATGAATGTGCAGTACATGTATGTATGTTTATAAAGAAGTTGCTGATGACAACTGAATATGGAAATTAATAGTTTATTTATCTCATTCAGAATTTCTCTGAGTATGATAATAATGATCATGTATATTCAGACTTTTGACAATTTACAACCTCTAGTAAATTTTATTTGTTTATTGAATCATAATTTATAGCATCTTAAATGAAAGGTTTAAGTCTGTAAGGTTTTAATTACTGTTTTTGCAGCTTTCAAGTTTAGATGATTTGTGTGATCCTTTAAAAAGAGATCCAGTTATTGATACAACAAAACAAGAATTAGCTAGTAAGTTGACATATACTGCCGTTCTTCACCCAGACATTGTCTACACTGTATCTGTTACTGCCATAAATGATGCTGGAAGAGGACATCCTGCAATTTATACACAAAGAACAAATGAAGAAGGTAATTTGTCTATAAGCCAGTAAAGTATTTGTATTTTTGCAATTGCAAAGTTTGTTTGCTTTATAGTATCAGTTATACAGTGAAAATTAAGAAAACCGGATGCTGACAATATCAAAACTTTCTAAATACCGGACGATTAATTTAGTCCCAGATTTTCCCTTCATTTAACTATTACATTCAACATTGACAATACTGGAATCTGTAAACCCGAAAATCAGACGGTTGATATCGGACTATGAAGTCAATTATATAGATTATTACCCTGACAATACCCATCCATGCCATAACGTCCCGGATGTCCGGGAAAGTCCCGGAAATAAGGTGTCTGTCCCAGAGGTGTCCTGGAGATGTTTTATGTCCCGGTAGAAAAAAATCTAAAATAATCTACATTGAAGCAAAAAAATTTTACATTTTTATATAATTTTATTGTCAAGTTTTTATAAACTAGTCTAGAACGTTAATAACGAACGATTATCCCCTTACAGCATTGCAATGGTGACACTAATCCTTTGATTGGTATATCTATGTGCCCCTTCCAACAAACAATTAGTAATAATTTTGATCAATTAAAAGATTGATTATTTACTCCCTGTGGCTTCCTGAGCAAAGGTGTCATATCAGTAATTTACAACTGGCCAGCATAAATTTAATTCGCTTGCAGGCAGTTTTTTAGTGGTCAAACACCATGAAAATTACGCTAAATATGAGGTGATGAAATCTTCTAAATTCAGCAAATGTTTCAGGTAAATGACATGGCTAATTGGCCTTACGTAACATAGCTTTATTCTATTCTGTGACTGATTGAATTTTCGATGCCTAAATACTTAAAAAAGATAGAAAAACTGTTAATAATTATTGAAATCTAATGGCATGTATGCAATACCGGACATGGGTGTGACTTGTCAATTGGTTGTGTCTTATACGCTGACCGGTAATGGAACACTGATTGTCTGATTTGTTTATTATGTCTCTTTTCACAGTTTGATTTATTGTAAAGCATAGATTTTACCGTTTTGAATTAATGCAAAAATGCACGAAGAATTGTTTCGGTAAAATCAGTATGAATAAAAAATTAAAAAAATTTATACGGCATTGTTTTTTAGTATATTCTTTTCCAAAATAGCAACACAACAGAAAAGACATTTATCTAAAAAGAATTCGAACAGAGCTGTCTATAAGTGACAAAGATAAATTGATAAAAGACATTGTAATTTTTGTAAATAAACCGGTTTCTTGTGTAAAAAATCAAATTGCATGTTATCTGAAACGTGTTCATTTTAAACTGTGTTTGTTTAATCATTATCCAGTTCCCAAATGTAAACATATACGGATATAATCAGACTTTATCATTATGAGGTTACTGCTGTACGTTTTATTGCATTTAGATGCCATAATGTTTAAAAAAAGATGTTATTTTGTATTTCATCAATTCTTTATTTAGCAATATACGTACATAATGATCATGAAAATGCAAATATACAGGCACCTGTGGTATTAGTTCGTCGGTACATATGATCCTGAAGGGGACATTGAAAAAACCGGATTGCTGAGAAAACCGAACAAAACCCTTGGTCCGAAAGCCATCCAGTTTTCTCGACTTTCACTGTATATCAACTTTGGCGTGGCGTAGGAAACCACCTGCCTATATGACTGAAATACTGTTGGGAAAAGGCGTAGAATGAAACAAACAAACAACTGTATATCAATATCTGTCTAGTGGTCATATCAGCCATTTTGTAACAATAGCAATAGCATGTGCTTATTGTTTACTAAACTTTATTCCCATTATGATAATATTGCTTTTCATTGTCCCTTTTGGATTGATTTCTATTAGGATTATGATTTGAACATTATGATTTTGATAATAGAGATATTACATTTACATAAATTAATTTTACTTTTCTCAACTCTTCAAAGAATATAGAAGGCTAATGTACTAACACAGGCATAGGCATCACATCTAAAAATGACCCTGACTTATAAATGACCTTGATCATCAAATTATTGAATTTTGCTAAACACTTGCTATGACTGGCTATAATTTTGTTATTAATGCATAAATTGTCTTTATACTTGGTTCAACAAGTCCTTAAAGCCACTGACCTCCAGATGGTAAAATGAAAAAAATAAAATAAAATTTCAAGTAAATGTTAAATACTGATCTAGTTAGGTTTATTGTATAAGTCCATCATTACTGACACCTAAATTCAAGAAAGAATGTTTACAAAAGCGTTAATATATCGGGTTTTCTTTTCCATAATCTACTACGTTACTAACGCAGTAGCCAATATAAATAGAAGAAGATAATTCATTTAACGCGGTCACGTGTCACAACAGTGATCCGGAAAAATCCCGGTATCCGGTATGCCCAGGATCGTTTATCAATTTTTGTCATTAAGTAGGCCCCTATCACATTTCAAGCTAAAGGTTAAATCAATAAATTGGTCATCATATATATGAAATACATAAATTAATCAATTATGATTTTTAGTGGCATGAATTACTACAAATAAAAAAAAAGCAGTTATTCGTATCCCTATATGTTTGATAAAATCCCAGATTCTGTGCGTTTGTTTTTCAAATCTGCAGTGCAATCCATAAATATACAAAACTGTCAAAATCATGAAACAAACATGAATAGGAAAATGAAGAATGAATATATATCAATACACTTATATAAGTAAATTACCTGCAAAACACACAGAGACAGCAAAATAATAAAATAATCAACAAAGTCAGGAGTTTCGTTTTCACATCTACAAATGTATTTCAAGTCTGTGTGCATGTTGGTAAATTATGAGGGAAAAATTGAGGCCCATCACCATAGTTTGGTTAGGTTAGTGTATGATACATGATGAATGATAATGAGGCTATGAGAGTAAATATGAGATGAAGAGTGGATGGACAAGGAAGAAAATATTTATAAGAAATGCACTATATATCATATAGGATATAATAATGGTAAGGTATATAATACATATAATGACAAATGACCCTGTGACACATTGACATCAAAATTATTCTAGCTTTGAAACAAGTTGAAACTTTATTCAGTTTAAGAGCATAATAGGTCACTCTCTAAGGCCTATAATTGTAACATGGATTTAGAAAAAAATGCCCCTTTTGAACTTAGAAAATTTTACATCATCAAGGCTCTTTTACTATCAAGCACTGAGAATAGTCCAGCATGCTGTCCTATCGACAGCTCTTGTTATAACCACGATCTCTCATTGGATAATGCTGATTTGTGTAAATTGATGTAGTGGATAATACGTTTGTTGCTATGAATTATGTTAGCATTATTTTAAGACTGGGGGTAAAGAATCAGATTACTAATATTCATTGATGGTCATTTGTTTAGAATACCAGAAGAGGCTCTGAGTAACTTTAAGTTTTGAATTATTTTTCAGCACCACAAAAACCATATCAAGTATCTGTGACTGACATAAATTCAACAAGTTTTGTGGTTAATTGGGAAATTGGTTCACCAAGACCAGGCAACACAACTTACACAATAAAGATAATGACTGACATTGCTCAATCTAAGGAATTTAATGTTGTTGGTAAGTAAACTGTAATTATCATTCAAATGATGGTCATTTCTATATTTCAGTTTCAATCAAATATTGTCATTTCTACTTTTAGTTACCATCATTTTGCATTCAATTTTAGTAAAAAATAGTCATTTTACAAAGTTTTAAATGTTCGGTTTTTTTTTTGCAACTCAAATTTGTCAGCACTATTGTCATCTTGGGCATGATGTTATTATAATTTTTTGTGACACTATGCATCACAAAGAAGAGTGTTTGGTAATTTCACATTTCATCTTTATGTCAGATTCTTTTTATAATGTATTTGTGTTTGATTTAGGTAGATAATTTTCTTTATTGCTTGTATCAAGTTGTATGTGAATTTTATTATTGTACTGAAAAATATTTGTATAATGTATGAGGGCATACTGATCATATATTAAAGATATACTGGCATGCGAGCAGTTCCCGTACAAAAATCGTAGTAACTTAAACATAATTTTTTATTACGCTCACTCACCAAAATTAAAATGTTACACATCAATATTCAGCTCGTCACACAAATCATGGAAATTCCATTATGTTCTAAACATAGAATAACCCTTATTTATGAGGCCTCATATGGGGTACAGAAATTATCCATTATTTTGTATGAAGAGAAGTAGTTCCCGTACATAAAATTTAACCCATTATAATTATACAATTTTATTATATCGGACCTATTTTTCATTTATAATTGTTGAACAGACCATTTTCTAAGAGATAAATAGATGTAATTCAGGAAATAGAAAGCAGACTAAACGCGTGTATCTATTACCCGGTACCGGTACCCCCAACGCATTCACATGTGATGGCATGCTTGTATGCATGATATTTTACGCATCAAAGCCATTAAATTATTTTATATAGTAATATTGGTCAAAATTCTGATAATTAAACAAGTTTTCATCACATTGCCTTCTTATCTGTAAACAAGTGGTATTAGTGGAAAACCCTTTAACATGCCTCACGTGTAAGTATATTTGCGCATGCGCGCAAGGACGGAATTCCCCAGATAAAACAAGGTCATGTTTTGACAACGCACAGATAAAAAAGATTTAAAATGAGACTTTTTATACGTACTGCCGAACTGACACTTAGATTTTGTCTCGTTTATGTATCTGCTTGATTTGAAATGAATTTTTGAAGAATGCATGTAAAAATCAAGCGTTTAAATGAAAAATACGGGTACTGCTTCTGTACGGGAACTGCTCGCATGCCAGTAGAATTTAAAAGGATTTTTTACTATCCTGATCGTTTTTCTGACTATCTTTTAATAAATAATATTATACTTACTGTATCACTGTACAGTATAATATTGAGTGTACTTGTATATGAATTACTTTCATGTTTTATACGATATAGATAAATATTTTTGTTTAGGCTATGAGAACAGAAATTATCTGGTAACAGGTCTTGAGGAGTTTTGGAATTATAATGTAACAGTTACTGCATCTACATCTATTGGTCCAAATACATCTGATGTGTCGGACACATATCAAACATTACCTGCAGGTTACAACCATTTTATTATATATAATACAACTTAATTACATAACAATATTAATTGATATATATCTATATATTTCCTTCATACACAAGATACTATAATTCTATATATTATGAACAGAAAAGAAAAACTTGTTAGTATGTTGTATAAATTAGTATGCCGAAATTTAGGAAGAGGGTTCTGCATAATAGAAATGAATATTCTGCCTATAATTGGTGAAGTTGGAGGTTTGCTCTCAGATTGTACCAATGTCAGTTGTAAATATAGTTCTTGTGACTGAAAAGACATCTGTGGCTGAGTGGTTACGGTCAATGGAAGTCAGAAGGTGCAAAATGTTTATCATTGGAAGTCACATTATATAAGTAAAGAAGAAAAAGCATAATATATTGGAAGTCACAGCCAATATCAAGGCATAAATGACTCTCAAACGTACACTAATGGAAACCCTGGAGGAAGCTATCCAACTAGTTTTCATTGGTGGTTTCTACTCAGGGGTCCATTCATGCCTGAAATAATGCACGGAAGAGCTCTTGAGGTCTTCCTCCAACGTCACCATATGACCTATACTGTATTGCTAGGACGTAAGACCCAACCAAACAAACTTGTGACGGAACTACTTGTTGATTTGTACAAAATGGATAATTCTGGTCTGTTATATGGGAACAAATGATGGTCACATTAGCAATGCTTTTATTGCCAGATAATTCAGAAAGAAAAAAAAACAGCAGTGTAAATTAAAGTTTGAAATTGTGCTCACTGCAAGGTTTTTTGTTAGTTTCTGTAATTTATTATACAACTATTGACTAGTGAGCCATTGAATATAATGTGAATGTCATATTGACCATGGTGATAGATCATTACTACCACCAGAAGTAATAAAAGAAATGCTTTTTTTTTATTTTATTATGTTATACTCTTATAATAGTCAAGCACATGTGCACTCTTTTACAGCTCCTGGAAAAGTTCATGATTTTAGAAAACATGATGCTCCAAATGGAGATTATTTGAAACTCAAAATTACCTGGAAAGCACCAGTTATACTTGAAAGAAACAGCATAATAAAGGAGTACAAATATGTACACAATGCTAGTGAAGTGAGTATATAAGAATGACTTTATTCAAGAAATAAGAGTAAAATATTCTCATATTCATTATTTTCTTCCACTTTTTACATTCGAGGTACAGTAAATTGTTTAAAAATGTTTTGTGGTAGGGAATCAAACACATGAATACATGTATATGTTTAGGGCAAAATCCTACTATATGTAGTCATAGTATAAATACAATGAGAAATAAACAAAAGTAAGGGGACTGAGTCAATAGTTCCACTATTACAGCCCCGTTGTGATAAAAATATATGACAGGAAAGATAAAATGTTTACTCCTTTTAAATGATATAAACATTTGAGATCCTGAAACAAATGTAAATTCATGAGCATTATTATTGCATGTTCAAGGTAGGGTGAATGGGGCACTTTTGAATGCCATTTGATGTTGTCAATTCTACTAAGAATGATGTTAGCGCTTACTTCAAGTATTTGTAAGTTTCTAGGATGACTTGCTAGCCCTTGCTGTCTGAGGTGGTGGAGTCAACTTGTTTCCAAACCATAAATTCCCTTTGTTTAGGTGTCATTAAAATTAATCACAGTTTCGTTGATTTGTTATAAAGAGAACTGTGAATGTCATCGAACTCTCCTATTGCCTTCAGAATTTCTTCAGAGCACAAACCCTTTTAGTCTTTTAAATAAAATTTTCATCCTTTGTCAAAAGGAAATACACAGTTTTATTATGCCCCAATGCCCCAACTCTAAGGGGGGGCATTAAGAATTGCCCTTGTTCCACAGTGCATGCATGTTTGCAGTCTTGTGTGATCTCATGTTGTGTCACATGTAGCTCCAAAAGTGCTTGAGCTAGAGTCAACAAACTTTATAGGAAAGTTGATCAGCATGTGGAGTTGTGCACCTGGGGTTTTGCATTCAGTTTTGTAAGAGTTATACCATTGATGTGCATCTGGGGTTTTGCTTGTTTTTATTTTCTTTTAAGCATACTTGAGAATATAAAATTCAGATTATTGGGAAAAATCAAGATGTCAGCATTGGAAAACTTAGATGTGGTTCTATGCCCCAACCACTAAGGGGTAGTGGAGGTCATGTAGAATTTCCTTTGTCTGTCCCTCTGTTTCATTTTGAAAGTCACTTTTTGTGAAATATGTTCCATATCAACTGTAGAATGATCATGACAGTAATATTGATGTGATGTCAATTTTCCATAAATTGAAACTTGTGATGGATATTGGTATACTGAAAGTTTGACATTACTTTGTGTGAAAATTGGAATATTTTAAGGACTTGAATTACTGTTCTTTGATATACTTTTAACCTTTTCCCTTACATAAGCGTGTTTCGCCAAGAAAATTTTGGACATGTGACAGGCTAAAAATGGCCTCAGGTGGATCTTCGGGTAACTAGTAACCGACGCTGAAAAGCCTTTTACTCTATCTCAATTCATTGAGAAGTTGCAGCACTTTGAAATCAGTTTTGATGGAAAAAAAACAATGCAAAATAGTGATTTTTGGCAATTTTGAGACGTCCCCCGTTGCCATGGTAACAGGAAATTTACCATTGAGCATGCTGTTACAGAGGCTATGGTGTAGTCAACATTTGGGCCAAGTTTCATTAGTATTGAAGCATTTTTCATAGTTTCATAGCAGTTTGAACTTGTTACAATGAAAACGGCCATTTTTCGCAATATGCTCATGGGGTAAAAGGTTAATGTGGATTGGTCAACAGTGGGCAATTTATCCAGAAGTGTTTCAAATATTGAACAAAATCAATGGAAATGTATCGTTGAAATAGATATTCTTATACAATGTTGCTTGAGAAAAATTGTTGACAAAGTTCTAAGTGATTTAGTATGAGCATTTAAATATGATGAATAGTGATATTCTTTTCTAGAACAATTTATTATCTACCATATGAACATAATTTTTATGGTATATTGGATCATGTACTTTACACTTCCCAACAACATCCATATACACATATAGGATATTCAAGTTTTTCATTAATTTTCTTTTAGTGGTATGAAAATAAATGTTTCTTGAGTGGTGGTTCTAAGGAGTGAAATATGATAGTTTTCATAACACAAGATGAAGATATGTCCTTTATTTATAGAAAAAAAAACTAGAATTTTCTGTTGATTATAATACATTTTTTTTATTTTGAGTGAAAATACAGAAAATGAAAATACTCATTTTATTATCCCCCGCCGATGGAATCGGGAGGGGGATATAGTTTTGGCGTTGTCCGTCCATCTGTCCGTCCGAATTTCGTTTCCGGAGTAGTTCTCTGCAACTACTGGCTGGAATTAAACGAAACTTTATGGGAATCATCAATATCAAGAGGAGATGCGCATATCGTCGGCTTGTTCCGGTCCGACCCTTTAACTCAGAGTTATGGCCCTTTGATTAGTTATGTAGTATGCATATAGAGTAAAAATCGTTTCCGGAGTAGTTCTCTGCAACTACTGGCTGGAATTCAACGAAACTTTATGGGAATCATCAATATCAAAAGGAGATGCGCATATCGTCGGCTTATTCCGGTCAGACACTTTAACTCAGAGTTATGGCCCTTGATTAGTTATGTAGTATGCATATAGAGTAAAAATCGTTTCCGGAGTAGTTCTCTGCAACTACTGGCTGGAATTCAACGAAACTTTATGGGAATCATCAATACCAAGGGGAGATGCGCATATCGTCGGCTTGTTCCGGTCAGACACTTTAACTCGGAGTTATTGCCCTTGATTAGTTATGCAGTATGCATATGGAGAAAAAATCGTTTCCGCGCTACTCTGCAACTACTGGCTGGAATTCAACGAAACTTTATGGGAACCTTCCATACCAAGAGAAGATGCGCATATCCTCGGCTTGTTCGGGTCAGACACTTTAACTCAGAGTTATGGCCCTTGATTAGTTGTGCAATATGCATATGGAGTAAAAATCGTTTTTGGAGTAGTTCTTTGCAACTACTGGCTGGAATTCAACGAAACTTTATGGGAATCATCAATATCAAGAGGAGATGCGTATATCGTCGGCTTGTTCCGGTCAGACCCTTTAACTCAGAGTTATGGCCTTTGATTAGTTATGTAGTATGCATATAGAGTAAAAATTGTTTCCTCACTACTTCTCTGCAACTACTGGCTGGAATTCAACGAAACTTTATGGGAACCTTCAATACCAAGAGGAGATGCGCATATTGTCGGCTTGTTCCGGTCAGACACTTTAACTCAGAGTTATGGCCCTTGATTAGTTATGTAGTATCCATATAGAAAATATTTGTTTCCTCGCTACTTCTCTGCTACTACTGGCTGGAATTCAATGAAACTTTATGGGATACTAAGAGGAGATGTGCATATAGTCGCCTTGTTCCAGTCAGATACTTATAACTCAGATATATGGCCCTTGATTAGTTATGTAGTATGCATACATCTCATTGGCATTTCCAGATTTTACTATTTAACACAAAGTTATGGCTCTGTTATTGCCCTGAATATTTATCAAGTTCAAAGAATATTACTGTTTATGCCATGATTAATATATAAATAAAGCCTTATGTCTTCAGTTGTTGTGTTAATAATAACCAGTACTCGGCCGGGGATATAAATTCAATGAATTTGCTTGTTTCATCAGTATTTCTCAATATTTCATTTACATGTATATTTATATAATAAATTTAATTCTTTGTTTGTTTGTTAAGTCTGATAATAAATACTATCACATAACTATATCTAGTATTACATACCTACTATAATATCAAAGACCAATTCATTTTGACATAATATTATCCTTACAATATGGTTTTGTTTATATTTAAGGAATTAGAGTCACCGGAGCCACTCAGCCAAAATGAAGATGAAAACTATGAATATAATGTTATGTTAATTGTTGTGCCAGAAGAATATTATAGTTTTGAGGTTTGATAAATTTATTCATCATTTAGATTTTAGATTGATGTGTTTCCATATTTATTCAATTTTGCTCACCTGACCAACTTGTGTTCATTGTGAGGTTTTGTGAATGCATGTTGTCTTGTCATTCCTGCATCAATGCTTTTTTGTTGGCACACTAGCAGTTTCATTTCCTGACTGATTTGAACCAAGTTTTGGGAGAAATTGGTTATAAGTGGTTATTTATCCAGATAATCCTGTGCTATAAAACAAATGCTGAGATGTGACTGAAAGTGTGTTTAAAATTTGCCTAAAAAACAGACAAACAGGAATCTGTACCAAACTCTATTGATAAGGCTAGATTCCATATAATAAATTTTTTTAAAAGTATCAAAGATATTAACTTTTAACTAGCAGTGCTTGTTCACCTGTTAATTTGAAATTCATTTCTTAGCTGCAGATAAAAACAGTTCTCACTTAATTTTTATGCCACTGCAGCATCTGCGATGTGGTGGCATATAGCAATTCACCTGTGTGTGTGTGTGTTTGTTTGTATGTGTGTTCTGTAGATTATATAGTGAACTTAAAAAATCTTCTTGTGATAGACCACTAGTCCAATTTCAACCAAACTTGGCAGGATTGATCCTTGGGTGAAGGGCTTCCAAAGTTGTTCAAAGAATTTCATTCCATGTAGAAATCTGGTTTCCATGGCAACCAAAAGGAATTATAAGAATAAATTTAAACAAGAGCTGTCACAGAAAGTGACAAATGCCCCCAAAGGATTCTAGTTATAAACCACTTATTACATGTTAAGTGTGGTGGTAAAAATTGACAAAGTTTGAATCCCAGCAGTGACCTTTAAGTTAGACAAAGGAACCTGGGTCTTGTTCACAAATCATTGTCCATCTATGGTCACTTTATATTTTAAAATAAAAATTGAAACTTTCATGTATATGGAAGTTACAGGGCGGACACAACAACCACCATTTATATGTATATAACATAAATATTGAAAAAGTTTAAACCCCAGCAGTGACCTTGAACTAAGGCATAGGAACACGGGTCTAAAGGGCAACACATCATACATTAATGATTATTTCGTATGTGAAACAAAAATATAATGCTTTCATGCATATTAGTTTCAGAGCAGACACGACCATCTCTGCCTGTATGTATATTAACATCAAAATTGACATAGTTTGAACCCCCACAGTGACATTGACCTTATTCGTAGAAACCAGAGTCTTTTTCGCGGCACACCATACATCTAAAGTTAATTAATATGTGAAAGAAAAATTACAATCCTTTCATGAATACTGAAGTTTCAGAGAGGACACAACCACCACTTTCTATATTTTTAACACAAAAAAAGACAAAGTTTGAACCCCCACAGTGACCTTGACCTTCATGGTAGAAACCCAGGTCTTATTCGCGACACACCATACATCTATGGTTATTTCATATGTGAAAGAAAAATTAAAATCCTTCCATGCATATTGAAGTTTTAGAGCGGACACGACCACCACCTTCTATATTTATATAACAAAGAATGAACCCCCACAGTGACCTTGACCTTTGTCATAGGAACCCGAGTCTTGTTTGTGACACACCATACAGCTATGGTTATTTTATATGTGAAAGTAATATTACAATCCTACCATGAATCGAAGTTTCAGAGCGGACACGACCTCCACCTTCTATATTTATAGAACAAAAAAATGACAAAGTTTGAACCCCCTACAGTGACCTTAACCTTAGTGGTAGAAACCTGAGTCTTGATCGCAACACACCATACATCTATGGTTTTTTCATGTGAAAGAAAAATTAAAATCCTTCCAATCATACTGAAGTTTCAGAGTGGACATGACCACCACCTTCTATATTGATATACAGTTAAACTTCGTTCGCTCGAACGCGGATCGCTCGAATACCTCCCTTCACTCGAACTTATCGCCCAGTCCCGGCAAAATTCCTATATAATATATATTGTTCTACCTCGGATCGCTTGAACACCGATCGCTCGAACTCTCGAACCTGATCTCTGGTCCCTTCGTCAGAAATATAGTGAAAATCACACCTTTTCGGTCGAACACAAAAAGACAAGTGGACATGTCCTAAATAAATGACAGTCGGCGACACATTTTTTTAACACCTCGTGATCGTGACAAATGCAATTAAGGTTAATTGATACAAAATAAGAGGTGTTGTAACCGATTTGTTTGTTATGATAATATTGTTGTTTTGCCGTTGATGGTAACGATAAAAAGAAAATAACTTGTGAAATAAGTGAAATATGAAAAAGGCAATAAAGAATGACGTTTACCCAGACGGCTTTAACAACACAACCGTAGTTCATGTAACATTTTATCTATTTATAGAACTTGGACGTGTGTTTATATTAGTAAATGACAACAAATAGATGCTGCTGTAAAACTTTTTCTTGAATATTTCATTTTTTTATTTTTTAAATTAAATTAATCCCATTATAAACATACAAATATATTTTGAACATTGTTCAACAAGTTTGGTCTGATTGCCCAATCGAACTCAACCAATTACAATATGCATGAATATAGATTAACACAGCGTACCGTTAATACTTAATTGAAAATTCTGAATATGACATATTTGACAACAAACAATCATATTGACATATTTATCATTTGACTGATGTATGCTAGAAAACCTTTAGGCATATGATCAACGTAATAATAGTTCAACCTCGGTTGGCTCGAACTACCGATCTCTCGAACAAATTTGCACAGGCCCTCCGAGTTCGAGCGAATGAAGTTTGACTGTAACATAAAAAATTAAAGATGTAAGAACCCCCACAGTGACCTTGACCTTAGTGGTAGAAACCTGAGTCTTGTTCGCGACACACCATACATCTATGGTTATTTCATATGTGAAAGAAAAACTACAATCCTTCTATGCATACTTAAGTTTCAGAGCGGACACAACCACCACCTTGTATATTTATATAAATTAAAAAATGACAAAAGTTTGAACCCCCACAGTGACTTTGACCTTAGTGGAAGAAACCTGCGTCTTGTTAGCGACACACCATACATCTATGGTTTTTAGCTCGACTATTCGATAAGAATAAGTAGAGCTATTGTAGTCACCCGAGCGTCGGCATCGGCGTAACCACTTATGTTAAGTTTTTTTGTTTGTTTTGGCTTTAAATATTTTCAAAGTCCATTGACATATGGCTTTGAAACTTTGCACACTTGTTCACCATCATGACCCCAACATGTAGACAGGAGGAGGTAACTTTATCAAGCATTTTGACAGAATTATGCCCCTTTTTCAACTTAGAAATTACGTTAAAGTTTTTGTAATACCTTAAATATTTTCAAAGTCCATTGACATATGGCTTTTAAACTTTGCACACTTGTTCACCATCATGACCCCAACATGTAGACCAGAGGAGGTAACTCTAGCAAGCATTTTGACAGAATATGCCCCTTTTTCGACTTAGAATTTAAGTTAAAGTTTTTGTAATACTTCAATTATTTTACTATACGAAAGAAAAAAGAATACCAAATACAGTCGAGACTGCCTAAGCGACCCCCTGATTTAAACGACTCCCTGTCTTATCCGACCTTGTTTCAGTACTCCCAACGTATTTTCCTATATAAATGGTCTGAATTAAACGACTCCCTGTCATATGTGACAAGCGACCCTAATTGTCTGGTCCCAATGCAATGTTTTGTCTGATTTAAACGACTTTCACACCTTTTAATTGTCCGTTGATCAGATAAAGAATACCTATTATAACACCCAGAGGGCCAAAATAATTAAGTCCAATTATAATCCAGCACTGTAGCAAACAAAGTCTACACACCTCTATCTCAATTACACAGTTAGCATGTAGATACATGCAGGTACCAAGTGACGTAGCTCTGTTCATGGGAAGCTTATGCAATCGATGTGTGTTATGTATAATGGCCTGAGTAAACTGGGTTAAGACTTGTGTTAGATTTTTTTATTTAATTATAGAGTGCCCACGGAAGATTTTTTAGGCAGCATTTTTTTAATTTACCTTTCTATGGCTGCATAATTAATACGGAAAAAATATTGATACCAAACCAGAAAAAGCTTTGGATATGGATATGTTTACAGTAAAGATCCTGTAACACATTTTTTCATGGTTTTATTACATAAATATGATGCTCAAATTAACATTTGTCAATATTGTAAGTTCAAATAAGCATAATTTAGAAAGATATCACCCATGTAAATAAAGGCCATTAAAGGGAGGTAATTAGAACTTTATTTTCTATAAATTCTAAGTCAAATTTTCCAATAAGAAATCAATGCATGTAATTTATTGATTAAATATAATGTGCACAAATATTTGCAGTAAACATTTTACATATTCTTTGATGTTTGAAAATTGTTTTATTTGCATAATTATATCCATATATATTTTTTTTGCAAGATATGTAACAGTAACAATATCAATCACAAAACATACAGGATCTTTAAGTCACATTGGTCTATAGACAGATAGATGATTTTTCTTTGAGACTGTATTTAGAGACTCCCTGTCATATGCGACCTTTTTCTGAAGATCCCTTGGAAAGTCACATATGATGGTCTCGACTGTAAATTTAAATAACAAATTTATTTTGTACGAGCATACGCTGCAATTCAGCTTGTATCATAGCTTTTATACAAGTCAAATAAATCAATAAAATATATAATGGAGGTAATGGCCGCTCTGAATAACCAGTCGAGGTATCTCGCCTGATTCCTATAAACATGTACCTAATGCAGCGAAACAGCAAGAAAGCCAGACGTGTCGCGCTAATATTTAATTTCAAGCTTATTAAATAAAAACACATGTGCCATACTGAAACCATTTAACATTGGCTACCGGGTAACCAGAACCGAATGCCAAATAGTTTACCGGCTAATGCAATTAATGAAAAACTAATTTTAATACAGGCAAATTACAGGCATATACATCACATGCGCATCTCTGTGTCACAACGACGGTGCCAGTAGCCAAGATAACGAAC